GACAGCAGCCTCCGAAAAAAGGAAAACCATCAAATTTACGCTCTCTCTCTCTCTTTCTCTCTGTCTCTTTCTCTGCTGTTCTGCTTCTTATTTCGTTTACTTTCCATCAGCATAATGCAGCGAAAAGGGGGGAAGAGGGCATGTGTGTGTGTGTGTGTGTGTGTGTGTGTGTGTGTGTGTTAGGGGTGTAGCAGGAGGTACAGGTAATGGGGAGCTGGAAGCGGAGGTGGAGAGCACGTCTGGGAACAGGCAGGACAGGAGACCGCTAAAGAGCGGAGGAAGGGGGACCAGGAGCAGGGAGCAGGTGAGAGGCTTACGATGCTATTACGTTATTCTGCCATCACTTAAAATCCAATAAACAAATTAATAAACAACAAAAACAGCAACCCACACACACACAGGCACCTGCACACACTCGTATGGAGAGTGTCAACCCATTTAATTGCCTCAAGTCCGGAGTGAGTAAGAGAGGGAGAGAGAGGGCAAGGTACGTGTACGTGTACCCCCTGCTCTTTCTATCCCACTCTTCAGCTTCCGATGAAGCTTTCAAATTTAGTTTTTGGCGCTCACTTCTCTCTCTCTCTCTCTCTCTTAGTTATTTTTTTGGGTGCACTTTCCGTTTACCGTTACACGTTTTTCAGTGATTTTGTTTGTTTTGGTTTTGGTTTTGCTTTTGTTTTTTTTTTGCGGCACAAAAACACAAAAAGAATTTTTAACGAACGGGAAAAAGGCCTCCATGTTCCCCAGTCTCCCTCTCTCCGTCGCACAAACACACACACACACACACACACCTGCTGAATGCTGAATGCTGAAGGGAAGAGTCGGATTAGTGCGGCGTACCCTTTCCCTTCCGAAAAGTTCAATTGGAATCTGAAGGCACTTGTCCCTTGAGTACAACGACGATATGTGTACACGTGTATCTCAGATAACACTCATTAAATGCCACTGCACATAGAGGACTACCAGATACTCTGCACTAATCTAGAGGATTGATTACTACCTTTCATGTTTGTAAAATGTATTCGGAAGCATACACCCAGAGAAAAAATCTCTGAGAAAAGAATACACCACAACCGTAACGCTTCGCTTCAAATATTTATGCTGTTATAATTGCACCGAGAGTGAATTTCATATTTAAATTAATTGTAACAAATTGTAACGAAATTGTGTGTGTGAGCATGTCGCAGTGGCGTGAATCTCAATCACAAGAGGCACGAGATGATAGAAAAGGCAGAAAACGCTTCGTTTATATTTATTTAAAAGTTTTTCCAATGCAGATTAAATATGCGCCGTATTAAAAAGACTTTTATGCTTGATCTATATGGATCGCAGCGAATTAATCCCCGAATTATGTTTAAAAATTTCCAAACTCTATTGCAATGAATTTCATTTGATTAGTAGACCATAGTACGAGTATTATCTAAAACTTAACCAAAGATGAGCCCTCCAAGGCATTCTTAGAGGCGGAATCAAAACGGATAATTAAGTCTCAACATTAAACATAGGAATGTACATTGGATATATGTACATAGGAAAACGGATAAGTCGAGCGCTGCTTGCTCATTTTCTGGCAGTGTTGATTCCCCTTTAGCCTTTCGTGTCTGTCTCCTTAATATGACTTTTGTTCTCTGTTGCCGTTGCCCAGTAAATGTATCTGTGTGTATCTGCATCTGTATATCTGTATCTGTGTATCTGCATCTGTGGCTGTTTCTGTTCTTTGCTTTTTTCCTGTTGTTGTTTTCGGTGTGCGTTTGTTTTATTAATGTTGACCGTCAATTATGTTTTAATTGTCATAAAAGGTTTGTCCCTTTTGACTCTTTCTTTCTCTCTCTCTCTCCCTCTCCACACATGAAGAGAGATGAGGCGTGGAAACAGGCGGGGAGGGAGAGACACGTATGCACACAATAAATCCACAGTGGGGATAAGCTTTAGCTCGACACAATTGCAGGGGGGGGCGGGGGATAAAAGGAGCAAAGGAGCACAACAGAACAGAAGTTGCTTGTCATCATGGCCAAAAGCATGCCCCCCACCTCCCCAACCAGCAACTGTAAATCCTGTGCATGTGTCGTCTGTGGATGTCCGTGTGCATGGTTGTGCAAAGCCACTTCCACTTCCTTCCTTTCACTTGACAGTTGAGTGTGTGTGTGTGTGTGTGTGTTCGTCTGGTATCCTCCTCTGGTTTCCGCTTCGATTTGGTTTGGTTTTACAGTTGTCAGGCAATTTGCACATCAACTTATACTGCAAAGATCAGCACAAAGTGTACCAACGCACACACACACATACACAGAGAGAGAGAGTGAAAGAGCAAGAGAGAATGAGTGAGGGAGAGGAAGGAAGGGTAAACTCAACTGCTCTCCGCAGTAGACTCCTTTTTTTGTTCAACCTTTCATTAATCAAATTGAATTCCATGTCGCACTGTCCTGCAGAAGGCAGAGAGGCAGAGGTGTTATGCAACGTGTTATCGATGACACGAAACGAATATCATACAAATGCCAATTGGTTATCGATAAGAATCTCGATCGAAAGAAGATTGCCCCCCTTAAAATTACTACCGATTACAGATATATATCGATTATTCATTGAACAGGCTACAAATATGTCGATACATCTTGCATCGATTATGGTTATCGCGAAAGAATCGCTAATGATGGCCAGTCATAATGGGAGCACCAACAACTCGTTGCAACAATTATAAAAGAGCGAGAAACCAGAACAACATCCAACAAAGAATACACACACGCACACACACTGTCAGGCAGGCAGGCAGACAGACAGTTCTCGTGTCCTGGCTCGAACAGGATGCTGGACAGGGGATTAATGCAACGTTTAAAACGTTGCCAGATTGACGACGTCAATCTGTCTCTCTTTCACTCTCTCTATCTCTCTCTCTCTCTCTCCCTCACTGTGTCCCGTTGTTGTGTTTTTTTTTTTTTTTTTTGCTGCTGCTGGCTGCCAATTTATGAAATTTATTTTTTGCCTACGTTGTGATTATTTATTCAAAAAGTTGGCCTCGACCCAGCGTCTGGTCCAGGATCCCGGACCCCAGACCCCGGACCCCGGACTCCGGTTGTAATTGCAATTGTTGTCAGTGTGTGGCATGTGGCATGTGCTGCACAGGGAGGTGGCAGGTGGCAGGTGGGACTTGAGGCATGGGGCATGCATGCTAAATAAATTAATAACACAATTTATGCATGACGCACATTTATAATTACATTTGGAAATAATTTAATTAAAATTGTTAACGCTTGATTGAAGTTAAATCGAATTGGACAAGACAGACGACATACGACACAGAGACGGACAGACGGATACCGAGAGGTCGTCGGTCCCCAGTCCGCAGTCCCCAGTCCTTGGGCCTCCACAAAAGCCAACTTAATTAAATTAGCCTATCAATAAGGGGCATAATACTCGTCAAAAGCCAACAAACTGACCAATTTCCATGCCACAACAGCCATCCATCCATCCATATCGGGCCCCCAGAATCTGTGGGACAAATGTCACTTCTTTGCTTCTACCTCTCCCTCTCCCTATCCCACCGCCCCCTTGATTTGGGGGCTGAGGTTGTACAAATAAACCGATTCGCTGTAGCGGTAATTAAAAGCCAACCAAATGGCCAAATAAGCCACAAGCACACACATAGACACGGAAAAAAGGAAGAAAAGTTGTATCGAATTTGTATGCTGATTGAAATCTTAGAGAAATAGTGTAGAGGCGCCACGGTGCGCGGGCCACGAAGCCAGTGCTACCCTGCAAAGGAAGGAGCTCCGATCGAGGGATCCAGGGACTGAGGGAAACCCCGCAGTCATCATGCCCTTGCATTCTGCAGGGTATGTCCAGGGTAAACGCTAATAGCTGATTGAGAATACGAATGGGAGAACAGCACACACACACACAGACAGACCATAGATAAGGTAGCCCCAAAGTACACAAACACACACACAAACAGCCAAACACGAGTAAGCGGTAAATCAACAAGAGAACATACAGACACACACACACGCGCGCAGGCACATGCATCGCATGTAAATATGTATTGGTTATGCCCACAAATCAATTAAGTCGATTGAGAGGCAACAAATTTTCGGCACAACACACACACAGCGGAATAGAATGACAGAGGAAGAGAGAGTGAAGGACAAATGTAAAGAGTTGTTAAGCACTCAAATGACACATGCAAGACGATGCACGACAGGGAGAAGGGGGGAGAAACTCTTTCCGCTCTTTCCGTTCAAAAGAACCGCGCGCAAAATGCCAACGGAGTGTGCCCTTAAATGTAGGCAACGTATTTCCGAGTGGCTTCCGCACAAAAGCAGGCAATGGCTTTCCACTCCCTCGGCAGCCCCCAAATGCAGGCAACACTTTTTGACTTTCGCCTGTCCTAAGCTGCCAAGAGCTGTGGGTGTGTGTGGAGTGCGGGGTGCGATGTTGGCTGGTGGCTGGTGACGGCAGTAATCTTAAATATTTGTTAATTTGCTAAAAATTCCACACTGCCACACACAGACAAAGCCGAATCAAAATCCCACACACACACACACACACACACAAACACAAACCAATTAAACAGACCAACAACAACAAACAGGGGGAAAAACTCTGCCTGCTGGCTGCTGGCTGCTGCGCTGCTAGCAACCGCAGAAAACGAAGCCAAAGCCGACGTCCAAACCAAACCAAAGCAAAGCCGAAACCGAAGTCCAAGCAGCCGAAAGCATCGCTGTAGCATCCCCGACCGACCCCGAGACTGCATGTCCTGGCTATAAATAACCGAGACATGCCGCGAGGCGACATCAGTCCTGACCGGGTTGCACACTTGACGGGTCGTCGCCGGGTGTCGTCGTCGTTTGTCGCTCTTTTGATGCTCTCGCTGGCTGCTGCGGCTGCTTGTTGCTTCTTCCACAAGCCCCATCATCTTGCGTTGCTATCCTTCGCCTGGGAGGATATTCTGGGGCAATTGGGATCTATTTTTGTTGAGTGCATTTGTTGCTTTTTGTTGTTGTCGTAACATGTTTACGAATTGGTTAACGGGAAGCAGTGGCACAGCGCCTCGGGGCATCGGCCTCACTGCGCCACCGTTGGCTGCCGCCGCAGCACCACTGTCCGTCGGAATCGGCAGCGGTGGGGGCATTATGAGCACTCCGCCGGATGTCATCCTGGAGGTGGGCCCCGCGCCGAGCAACGTGCGCTTTGTGGCCCACGCTCTGGTCCTGGGCATGCACAGTGGATACCTTCGCTCGGCCATCCGCATGGATGAGAGTGCCGCCGCCTCAGGAGCGGGCTCCAACAGCAGCACAGGAGCCACAGGCGCCCAAGGAGCCGCGGGAGGAGAGCTAATGCTTTACTTGGGCAACGTGACGGCGGAGCAGTTTGCCCCGCTCCTCACGTACATGTACACGGGCTACCTAGACTTGAATGTGGACAACATCTTTGCTGTGCTGCTGGCCACGCACGTGCTGCACATGCCCCGAGCTCTGGAGATCTGTCGGTGGGTTGCCACCTCCCTTCCACCATTCTACCCTTCCGTACCGTACTCCCCCTTTTCTTAGGCTCAATTTGGGACTCTGTTTTATTTTTTTGTAGATCGTTTCTGGCCCGGGCCCAGACCGAGGGCTATCTGAATGGCAGTGGCAGCAATCCCCCCCCACAGCTATGTCCGACGGCGCCAGTTAGCGCCAAGATCATCCGGCCCATTCCGAGCAAGGCCACGCTCCCGAACTTTGGCTTCATGCCAGTGCCCCTGCCACTGGCTCCTCCTCCGCCCCCAACAGCGCCACCGCCGCATCCTCCTCCCGTCCTGCCCGCCTATGCGGGTGCCGCTTCCCTGCTGCAAGTAGAGCCGGAGTATCCCGGACTGGACGTGGCCTTGGATGAGGACGAGGAGGAGGACGTCGAGGTATTCATCGACAGCAACACTGTCACCGACAACGAAAACGAAATCGAAGACATGGAGGCCGAGGACTGCAATGTCTCGGTCGTCAGTTCACTGGCCAGCAGCAGTGCGGGCAGCCTTAACATCGAGCGCCTGGACGCAAAACCGCCCACACCCACACCCACACTCACACTCACACCGACCCCCAAGCCGCAGGCACCGACCAGGACCAAGAAAGAGCCCCCAGCAGCAGTCGTGCAAAGGGGATCCCGCTCCACACGCTCTGGGAAGCCAGGGAGGAGAACCAATGCGAGCGGACTCCAGGTGGCCAAGGCCCCGGTGCCGGCCGCCCAATTGGAGACGGCCACGGCGGCGATGCCCTCCAAGTTCATCATCGACGTTGCCAGCTGCGACGGACCCGTGCGTTTCCGTCGCATCCTGAACACCGCCTACGGCCACAAGCCGGAGGCCCTGGACGGCTCCGGATCGGAGCAATGCGAGCAGCAGCGGACCCAGCAGAGCGTCAGCTACTCGTTTCACCAGCAGATGGCCAGAGCCATTAGCAGCCAGCAGCGACAGCAGTTCCACCAGCAGCAGCAGCACCAGCAGCAGCACCAGGAGGAAAGCGAGAACAGTGGCGATGCCACAGGAGGATCGGGAGCAGCACCAGCCAACAGCCGAAAGCAGGCGAATGCAGGAGCCTCCTCCTCTGCAACGACCGCCAGCAGCAGCAGCAGCATCGGAGGAGCTGTAGCCCCCAGCCAGGAGCTGTATGTGTGCGTGTACTGCAAGCACACGTTCAAGTCGCAGTACTGCTACCAAAAGCACGCCAAGCGGCACCTGAATCCTCTGAGCCTGGCCAGTGCCGAGAAGAAGCTGGTGGCCAGCGGAGACCATGGAATGGTGGCCATGGAATCCAGCAACACTGGGCAGGACAACAGTCAGTCGCAGGAGGCCACAGCAACGGCAGCAGCCACGGCAACAGCAGCAGGAGCAGCAGCTGCCACATCCACGGCCACAACAAGCGCTCTAATGCGGCGCGAGGTGCGTCCCTTGGACATGAATGTCCAGTACTATCCCTGCAAGACATGCGGCAGCAAGTTCCCCAGCTACTACTTTGTCCACAAGCATCGCAAGATGTGCCATGCCGATGAGATCGAGGCGGCGGCGGCAGCGGCAGCCACCAGCAACACTAGCAGCTCTTCAAGTGGAGCCGCCGCAGGAGCAGGCACTGCCACTGTCACCGGCAGTCTCTCTAAAAGAGAGACGACGGTCGCAGCAGCGAAGGAACCTTCAGAGGATCAGCAGAAGCCGTAAGGCATGCAGCGAATCTTGTGGAACTAACCAAAAAAAATCAAAAGCAACGAAATCTACGAATTTACGAATACACCTACACCTACCCTATAACACTGACATACACAAACACATACACATACAACTGTACACAGATACACAAACACACAATCGCTGAATGTTTTTTTTGTTTGTCGCTCTAGAATTTCAATTCAATAAAAGCAAAATACTACCAATATCATCCGAACATAGGAACAACAGAGAAGAACAGCAGTTACGAGAGAGAGATATGCGGTATTAATCGTCAATCGATGATTCCACATAAAGCAATCGATATATCCCAGAGTCAGAAGAGTACATGCTGTCTACAAACCAATCTGTCCACGATGGGATCCGACAATCATTGAAGAAAGTCCGAGTGTAAAACTTACAACATTAATCAAAATCGAATGATATCGCTTGCAATTTGTAATCGGTATGGAGATGATATAGATCAAAAAGCGTTAATTAAAATCGATTGTTATCGATATGGCGATATGGCGTGGCAGAAGAGGTTAGCGAAGAGCTATAGTAAATATGTACGTACGTTGAAGTCGAGCTTCTGTATAATCGATTGATCAGCAAAGATCAGAAGCGTGATACTTAATCCAAAACGATTGTTGTATATATACATTGTATAATCGGTAATCGTTTTATCGACTTGAAGGTTGATATTGTGATTAGTAGTCGCTATCGACTGTTGATTGATGATTGGGTTATGATTGGGGATATCGTTTAGATATATAGGGATTATCGCATTCGATAGCCATATTTCCACAGTTTTGGCCACCCCTGTGATCCACTTAGCCCCTCACCCCCCTCCGCAGACAGAGCCCTCTCTCTCCACGAATGGAAAATGTGTGGTAGCTGTGGAGGGGGGGATTGGCAGTGGGGTCGGTGGGTGGCAGATGGGCTGAGCAAACAATCCTTGCCGCAATTTAATAATTAAATTAAATCACTTGCATAATAAAAAAGACGTTTACGGGAAAAAAATATAATTTAATTGAGTTTAATTAACTCGCCAGGGAGATGACGACAGCCAACAAGGCCGCAAAGATGATAATGAAGATGGTGGCACAGTGGGTGGCCCGGTGGGTGGTGCAAACAAAACCGCTAGCGACCAAAAATGTGAGAGACAACCATCTCATCCTCGTTTTTCATCCCTCCTGCTACTCCTGCTTCTGCTTCTGTGTTAACTCTTTGGACCAGGACCTGGACCTGCCCCTGGACCTGGAACTTGAGGCAATTCCGAGCCAAGGTTCTCTTTTTTCTTTTTTTTTTGCTTTTTGATAAAATATTTATCGACAACGCAAACAGAAATGGAGACAGAGACAGGACTGAGACTGAAACTGAGACACGGAGAGACACGACAAATTTGATTGGGTCGAAGCAGAGAGCGCGCTGATGGGCCGAGGGAGGAGGTGGGAGGGAGGCTTTTGATTAAACAGGACAAAAGGATACGACGCATTGCAGTTGTCAATGACAGAAAATGCATTTTTGATGCAAGAGCAAACCAAGGACCACGGCCCATAACGGACACTCGCTTCGAACACGCGCGAGAGGGATGAAAGCTCCACTCAAATGGGAGAAATACGAAGCTTTGCCCAGCTTTCTCCATGAAAGCGCTCTGCCATGTTGAGGGTTGAAACAGGGATCAAGGACAGGGCAGAATATTTAAAGAGAGCTTTAAAGCTCACAGAACTTCCGAAAAGCTTCACACCGCTTCCTTTCAAAGCTCAGAGCCATCGGACCATCGAACTTTGTAAATTCTCAAAAGAAATAAACTGCTATAAGAATCCTTAAAGCTTGAAATGTTCACCGTTTTCATGGTTTTGAAAGCTCAAAGCTGTGCACTGACAGAAAACCCCCTCATCTCTGTACTAGAGCGCATCCCTGGGCGAGGGGATCAAAAAACTCCTTCAAACAGACAGAATATCGAGAGGTACACTGGGGGTCAGACGTTGGAAGGTTTAAGAATAGCCTCGAAGGCTCAACTACACTTCGTTCCGAGGATCTCTTTTGAAAATATTAAGAAGAACGCGGGCTCAAGGTCCAATTGGAATCCTGGTATCTCAAACCATGAAGGCCATTCGAGGCCACAGATATTTCGCTTTCGCACTTACCTTTGCCGTCCAGTGCTAGGCCATCCAAGTTGTTGGATGCGATCCCACTGCCACTGCCGTCGGCGGATGCCATCTGCATGGCCATCGATGTGGTTGCGGATGTGGACGATGTGGCCGACGTGGTAAGGGCACCGCTCGACGCTGAAGTGGACATAATGCAGTCGACGGCGGAGATCAGCAGGCCGGCAGTCGAGGTGGCCGTTGATGAATTGACCATGGATCCAGCAGTTGCTGCCGCCGATCCAGCCGCCGCGGATGATGAGGATGGGATCTTGTTGATGTCCTTGGCATTCGCATTGGCATTGGCATTGGCCTTAATGCTGTTGCTATTGCTGTTGCTATTGCTGTTGCTGTTGCTGTGGTGATGATGGACTTCGTTGGCTGTCATCTCGCTGTAGCGCTTTCTCTTGGAATCACTAAAAATGCATTGGGATTAGGCTTCAGTTTCCTAACTACACTCTACACTCGCTTCGTTCGACTCACCTGACATCGGAGAGCAGATCGTTGCCGGCACCCAGGCCCTCCACCTGAGCTGCCTTCAGCTTCTGGCCAAGATAGTTGCCCGCCGTGGTGGCCGTCGTCAATGTGGGCACTCCCACTCCCACGCCCGCTCCCACTCCCACTCCCGTGTGCTGCTCCGTCGAGGCCGTCGAGCTGGGGGGCAGGGCAAAACTTCCGCTGGCCGCAGTCGATGCTGGCGTTTGCTTGACGCCGATTTTATCGCCGCCCGTTGCATTCGTCGCCGCTACGCCAGCGACGCCAGGAACACCGGCGCCAGATCCAGTTCCGGATCCTCCTCCAGCTGCCGCTTCTTCGCTGCTGCTGCTGCCGCCGGCGGAGGAGGCCTTCACGTTGGCCATCACTACGCTCTGGTAGCCGGGCTTAAAGCCATTCAATGTCACGCCCACTGGCGGTGCAGCAGCAGCTGTTGTGGCTCCTGTGGCTCCTGCTGTGGCTGCTGTTGCTGGATTGTTGGCGCGTTCTCCGGTTGCTGATGATTCCATGGAATGGAAAAGGAAAGCGATTAATGATCGATTACATTCAACGATATATCGATTTAGAACGATGGACTAGCCATACGAATCTTCATAATAAAGAGCTTTTACATGTAATTATTTCAGTGTTTCGGATTGAAAATGAATCTATCGATTATAAGATCTTTCAGTATCCGTTAAAATCCATTATACTCATTATTATATTTCTTCGATAGGGCTGTGACAATCGATCAATCGATAATCTATAATACCCACCATTGTAGACCTCGGTCTTGGCCGCCTTCTGGCTTCCCTTGGCCTGCAGATCAGAGGCGGCTCCTCCAGCGCCAGCGCCAGTGCCCGCCTCCGCCTTCGCCTTGGACGAGGCGGCTGCCACCGACGCTGCTGCTGTCTCCGCCTTGCCCTTGGCTGTGCTTGTGGACGTGGTCGCAGGGACTGTTTCCATAGCTCCAGGAGTGGCCCCTGACGTGGCTCCTTTTGCTGTCTTCGCTGAGGCTGCGCCTGCGACTGCGGCTGACGCTGATGAAGATAATGATGCGGAGGAGGTGGCTGAAGATGTAGATGCTGCTTCTGCAGCTGCTGCTGCTGTTGCTGCTGCTGTTGACGCTGGGGCACCCTCTGTGGCTGCTTTGGCTTTGGCCTCACTGCTGCTGCTGTTGCTGGTGCTGTTGCTGTTGCTGCTGCTCGTGCCCGTGCTCGTGCTGGTGGTGGTGCTGCTGCCCGATGAGATCTCTGATGCGGTGGCTGCTGCTGCTGCTTTGGCGGCATTCTTATCGCTGCTGGTGCTGGTGGCCTTCGCCGCCAAGTCCGCCTTTTCGGCGGCTGCCAATGCTGCTGCTGCTGCCGCTGATGTTGAAGGCATCGCCGTTACGGCAGCAGCGGCGGCGGCGGCAGCAGCAGCGGCTGCCTTGGCCACCTTCTCGCTGACGACAATGGCCTCGACCGCCTTGGTGACGGCGCTGGCCTTCTCAGCGGCACTTTCGGCCGCCTTGGCGGCATCGGCGGCAGCCTTCTCGGCGACCCGCTCCCGCTCGGCGGCCCGTTCGGCGCGCTCGCGCTCCGCAATGGCCGAGGAACGGCCGCCGGACTTCTGCTGCTGCTCGCGCTGCAGGCGTGTGGTGACGCCCGTCGTCAGCGAGTCGATGATGCACTGGGGCTGGGCGGCCTGGGCCTTGGCCGGGTTGCGGGAGCTGCGCGTGCGCTGGCGGGACTTGCGGAGGAGCTGCTTGTAGTTCTCCTGCTTCTTGCTGAGGTAGTAGTAGCGGACGCAGTCCTGCGGGGACTTGCGGTCGAGGCTGGCGGCGATCACCCCGAAGTTCTTGGGGTGCTGCAGATACTTCTCCTTGAAGGTTTCCTTTTCGCCGGCGGTCCACAGATTGACGGCATTGTGCTGCTTGTAGACGGTGGACATGTCCTCGATGAGGCCGTTCTCGTTGTGGTACGCGCAGTGGCGCTGGCGGGCGTCATGCATGAGGGGCGGGATGACCGCGTAGGAGCGCATCTTCTTGTCCTCGAGGGCCTGCTCCTGCAGCCCGTCCATGATCTCCTCGAGATCCGCCTCCGACTTGATGCGCGACCCGACGCGGTTGAAGCGCTCCTTGTCCTCCCGCTGCTTCCGCAGCTCCGTGAACACCTTCTCGAAGAACTCGCGGTTCTTGGCCTCGCGCGCCTTCCGCTTGGCACTCGCCTCCGCCCGCTCGCACCGCCGCTGCCAGTCCGCCTGATCCTTGGCGTACTTATCGACCAGCGTCTGCTGGTGCTGGCATCGCTCGGCCTTTAGCTTTCGTATGTGCTGCAGGAGGGGCCCCTTCACGTGGCTGTGGTGCTGCTTTATCAGCAGCGCCAGCGCCTCCACGTCCAGCGGTTGATTGTAGAGCGGCATATACGGCTGGTGCTGCTGCTGCTGCTGCCTGTGCTGTTGCTGCTCCCCGCTCTCCGCAGCCGCCTCTCTTGCATCGAGAGCGAAAGAGAATCCGGCGGCCCGCTGCACCATGGAATGTCGATCTTGGGCCATCGCTCGGTTCGCCGCATAGATCTTCTCGGCCAGCATTTGGCTGCGCATCGACAGATCCACCACCTCCACCTCCACAACGCCCCCATCGTCCTTGTCCTTGTTGTTGTTGTCCTTGTTGCTGCTGTTGTTGTTGTTGTTGTTGGCAGCTGTGGTTTCTCCAGCAGCAGCACTAGTGCTGGCCGCATCGGCAGGCGGCGGCGACGATCGCGCCTTCTTCTGCTTGGAATGGGCCGCCCACTCCATGAGGGTCTTCTCCTTCTTCCGCAGCGCCTCCATGCCGGTCTCCGCGGACTTGATCTCGTTGTCCACCTTCTGGATCTGCATGAGGAGGTCCTCCTTGGCGGTGATCCGGCCACGTTCGTCGATGGCATTGTCGCTGGGCAGCGTGGGGGAAATGGCCTCCACCTGGAAGAAAGGGAATAAATCCTGAGTATCCTGGAGGGGAATCTCTCTCTTTCTCTCTCGCACTCACCTGTGGATGGTAGGCCTCAGTACTGCTGGCAGCGGCTGCTGCTGCTGCCGCTGCAGAGGTGGACGGTCCTGCGGCTCCTGCTGTGGCATGGCTACTGCTGCCACTGCTGATGCTGGTGCTGATGCTGCTGCTGATGCTGCTGCTCGGCATTGCTGTGGAGACCGTCACCGTGCTCATGCCCATGCCCTGCATTCCCGTGGCCATCGTGGTGGTGCTGGACGAGGGCGGTACACGTGGCGTGTGCGGCGCCGCCGAGGACATCTGCGGCGGTATCGTCTCCACCTTAAGCTGCATGCCCATCGGCCCCCCGGACATCACGGCGCCTGCTGCTCCACCTGCGCTGCCTCCTGCTCCTGCTGCCATTTGACGGTGGAGCTCGTGGTTGCTCTGCCGCTGGCTGCTGTTCATCTGCGCCTGCATCTGCGCTGGCGAGGAACGCTGTTGCTGGTGCTGCTGTTGCTGGTGGTGGTGCTGTTGCTGTTGCTGTTGTTGCTGCTGCTGCTGGTGGTGGTGCTGCTGCTGCGCCTGGTGGTGTTGCTGCTGCTGGTGGTGCTGCTGTTGATGCTGCTGCTGATGTGGTGGCAGGTGGTTCAGCCCACTGGGATTGCCATCGCTCAGTCGCTGCTTCTTGTACGGCTGTTGGCTGCCAACTCCGCCTCCTGCCCCAAAGGGTTCCGGCTGCTGCTGCTGCTGGTGCTGCTGACGCTGGTTCACCTGTACCGCTGCCCCGGCCGCTGCTGTGGCATTGGTTAGGTATTCGGTGGTGTACTGCACAGAGTGGGGCAGGAGGATGCGCCCTAGATTTCCCAGCATTATGCTGCCTCCGCCGCTCCCAGCCCCGCCTGCGCCCGCTCCGCTGCCTCCTTGCTGCTGCTGTTGCTGCTGTTGGCTGCCAACGGAGGATCCTGGCTGATTGGGATAGTGGGACATGGCCTCCATGACCAGCACCCCGCCGGACGGCACCTGGACCACTCCGCCACCGCCACCGCCGCCGGGATTAGAGCCGCTGCTCGAGCCCTGTCCTGGACCTGGACCCTGACCCGGCTTGCACCCAGCGCCGGAAGCCACTGCCGCCACCGCCGTCCGTGCCGGCCGCTGGTACTGCGGCATGGCGGCCTGCTGCATTTGGGTGAGGCATGTGTAGGGATTCTCGCGGTAGGTGGGCGCCGGGGCGATGCTGAACGCCGGCTGCGGGATGAACCGATGCTGGGGCGGGGGCGGCGCCTCGCCAAATTTCGTGTAATTGTTGACGGCCGCCGCTGCCGCACTGCTGTTCCCACTGGGCGGACCCGAACGGGGCGGCGACAGTGGACTGGCCGCGGTACGCGAGGACTGCTGCTGCTGCTGGTGGTGATGCTGCTGCTGCTGCTGTTGTTGCTGCTGCTGCTGCTGCTGCTGCTGATGGTGGTGCATCTGCTGCTGCTGCTGGGATGTGGGTGGCTGCTGCTGCTGTTGCTGCTGGGAGGCGTGGTGCGACTGTTGCTGCAGGTGTCCCAGACTCTTGGCATACTGCTGCGACTGCTCCAAGGTCCTGTACGACCAGTGGGGGCGAAAGAAGAGGAAAAAAACAACAGATTATTAAATTTATGCTTGCACACATTTCACCCACAAAGGGAGGGATCCTCTCGGAAAAACCATCTCCACCATCCATTTCTAAGGTAAAAAAAAGGTCTCTGCTGCCGAGATTGTGGAAGCCATAGGCATATCAATGGGATCTGCGGATCCCAACACACCAGAGACCAAACAGCAGTCAAAGCAGTGGGTTCTGCGCCAAGAAAGGCCGATCACCCATATGGACAAAACCCAAAAGGATATGCCAAAAAGAAACCACCGCATTTGGCCACGAAAAGCGTTCCGTTTTCTTAGGACAATGCAGGAACTAGCTTCCGCCCGCGATAGCTCTTACAGTCTCAAAGATTCAAGCGAATGACGCTGATTCGCTGTACGAGTATCCCATATGCACTTTATCAACAAAATACAACGAATTAAAAGTTCATTGCCATTGAAAGCAGGTGCTTTAACACTGAAAGTCAGCTGTGTTTTCCTTTCCAGGGAATGGCAAATTGCAGATCACGTGTGAACGTAGTAACATGGCGGTGATGATGTCCTAGTGGCAACACTGGTCAAGCAGAAGCCCACTAAGCCTCCAATCCAACCCGATCCCGATCGCAAGCAAATTCTGATCTCAGAAGCAGAGATACCAAGCGAAATATAACCTAAACTAAGGCTTGACCCCGTTTCTGGGGGCAATCTAAGATAATAGGATGATCGTATTATGGAATTAAGCATGCATCTTCGCTTCCCCTTGGAAAACACGGCCCGCTCTCAGATCCAACGGTTAAATTGAGTGAAGCGCCGCATTAGCGCGCGCGTTAATGGAACGGCACTTATTGGGGACACAAACCCCGGCCGGCGTCACACACGCTGCAGCTGTGTGCGAGCGAGAGGTGCGTCATTGCTGTCCCTGTCCCTGTCGTTTTCGTGCTTCGAACATGTCTGCTTCGAGCCGCTAGCTGGCTGCTCCGACATGCTGCGGCGCACACATGCTGGCAGTCGAGCATGTTCGAGCGCTGCGCGCGTCGGCAGCGACGCAGGCAGCAGCGTTCGTTGTTCCCAGTCAATTTTCGTCATTATTTAAATTTTTGCCTTGCATTGTTGCTGTTTGTTTTGTTTTAAAGCCAGTCCCTGGGAGGGGGAAGCCCGTTGCAACGACGCGTTTGAAGCGAGAGCGTGATTAACGTGCGACGGGTTTGACCCGTACACCGTCGTCGTCGTCGCCGCAGCGTCTCGACCTCATGCAGCATGCGTCAGCGTCGGCGTCGGCATCGCCGTCGCCGTTTGCAGAGTGCGACGTCATGTACGCATTATACACGCACGCACACAGACAGTCGTCAGCCGTTCTCGCTCTCACTTATTAATTCATCAAATATTAAAGATACCCGCTGTGTGCAGGGTACTGCGGGGGGTTGTGTGGTGCGTGCGGTGTGCTGTGCGCTGTGTGCTGTGGGAGGATTACTTCAGTCTTCAGCAACGTTGCCAAACTTCTCAGCTTAGAAACGACACTAGGCACATTACGACTCTGTCTCCCTCTTTCGGGGCTCTTGTCAGTGTGTCCATTAACCCTTGAATGTCTGTGTGTCCTTGGTGTGGCCGAAACATGTTGCCAAACTTCACTAGAAACATATTTTGTTACCTGCTTTGCCTCTATCCCTCTCCCTGTCACTCCGCCAGCGTGTGCTTTAACCCTCGAATGGCTCTGTAATTAGTTTTCATTGAAAATTTAACTTTTCAACTTACCATTCATAAGCCCAAGAAATATACTCTAAGTTGAAATGTGGGTTTACTGGGGACCGCGCAACGTTGCCCAACTTCACTAGCAGAGCACCCATTTGCCCGGTGGGAACAGAGGACTCTCCCTAACCCTATGAAGGCAAAAACGTTGCCAAACTTCAATGCCAATTGCATTATCTGTGATTTCATGTCCACAAGCATTTCAGGATTCCCCGAAAACAGGAGACAATTAAGGGACAAAACTACTAGGAATACACCTCTGATCAATCGCATCTGTGCTTTAACGAAGTCACAAAAATATCTCAGTCACCAAAATTGCATCTAAAAATCAAGTTCTGAACCAAAATTGTTAATCGATTTTTTATTTGAGTTGAACAGCTTAGAGCCGTTCATTGAAGGACAGCTGAAAGGATAATCCGCTGGTGGGATACCATTCAAGCAGTGGGCATTGAAAATCAAATGCGTGGCATTTAGAAATGCCAGAAGGTGGTGTCCGAGCACCTTCTAGGGTTAACCACCGAAAACGGCGAGAAAGACAGAGAGAAGATACAAAAAATAGAAATGAGCCAATCATCAATCATGAATGACCAAGCAACTTCAGGCCCAGGGCCAGAAGCATTAGCCGGCGTTTGAGTCATGGATAATGAGTTGGCCAAAAAACATTCTTCCAAAAGTCTTCTTTTGGTTTTGGTTTTGCTTTTGCTCTTCTGCTCCTTCTGCTTCCATTCTGCTTCTTGCGCTGCTTATTCTACTGCTTGCTCCGCACTGCTTCTTAAAGCTCTCTTTTGTTTATCACTTCTTTTCCCCATTTATCATATGGGAAAGCCTTCTTCAACGCTTCTTCCTTTTCCTCCTCCTTCTCTGCCTTCTTCTTCGTGTTCGTGTAGATGTTTTACCTGGAACGAGAGAGAGAGAGAGAGAGAGAGATAAATTAGCACAAAAAAAAAGAGTTTAAATTTCTCAATAAAATTAAAGGATAGGATACCAATGGATAGAGGAATATGAGGATGGACATTGAAAGAGGGAATAAATGTTGCCATCCCAAAGGAATACCATAAGGAGTGACTACTGTATCTATAAAAAGAAACGCTTTTGGAGTTCCAAAAACATCTTGAATGATTTCCCAAGCCGCTTCTGCTTCTGCTTCTTCCACTGCTTTTCACGCTGCTTATTCTACTGCTTGCTCCACACTGCTTCTTAAAGCTCTCTTTTGCTTATCACTTCTTTTCCCCATATGCCCTTTATCATTTTTTCCTTCTCCTTCTTCTTAGTGTTCGTGTAGATGTTTTACCTGGAACGAGAGAGAGAAAGAAATTAGCAAATTAGCAAAAAAAAAAAGTTTAAATTTCTCAATAAAATGAAGGGAGAATACCAATGGATAGAGTAATATAAGGATGGACATTGAAAGAGGGGAATAAATCTTGCCAAAGTGCGATTATAATCCCATCCCAAAGGAATACCATAACGAGTGACTACTGTAGCTATAAAAAGAAACTCTTTTGGAGTTTCATAAACATCTTGAAAACATCCATTCTACTCTTCTTCGTCCTCTTTCCCACCGGCTTTGTCTCTGTCTCTCTCTCTCTCTCTCACTCTTCTGCGAGAACTTTAAGCTCGCAAATAATTAAAACTTGAAGAATACTTTTGAAGTTACTGTAACTGTGGGTGTGTGTGTTTAAGCAAGTTTAAAACATTTAGCAGATGAAGAGAGAGAGAGAGAGTGAGAGAGAGAGGAGTCCTGTCTTAAAGGTTATCCAAAGAGAAGGGTAGGCGAGGGAGAATAGAAGAGCAAACAAGGAAGAACGAGCACGAGAGCACTCGAGCAAGCAATGGCCGGGGCTGGCTCCCTCCATATGTACCGTTATGTGCCCAGCAGCACACACACACACACGCGCTTTACATATATGTATGCAAGTATTTGGCAGCACATGTGTGTTTGTTCAGCATCATCCTATTCCATTCCATTCCATTCCCTATTCTGTTCCATGCTCCACTCTGTCCGCCTCTCTGCCCGCCCCCATGCCCCATAGCAGCCACGCCTTGTGTCTGCCACGTCTGTTCGTGTGGCATACATAAAGACATAGAAGAAATAAAAGGAAAACCAAACAGACAAAAAGCAGCAGCGGAGCAGAGGAAAGAAGAGAACTCACAATAACAACAAAAAACAAAGAAAGAAATGAAAGGAAAGGAACAGAAAACAGAAAGAGGTGTAAGAGAAGACGCAGAAGAAATACAAGGAAAATCTTTAGCATTAGAAGGAGAACAGGAGAACAGGAGAAGAGAATAAGAGAAGAAGCAATAAGCTGCAGCAGCGAAAGAAGAACGAGGAGAGCACAGCAGAGGACGAAGTAGTAGAAGAGGCAAGAGAACAGAAACAGCAGAAGAAGAAGAAGGAGAAAAAGAGTCGAGTCGAGTCGAGTCTCCCATGGCACCCCACTCTACATTACTCCATCTTTATCTCTCTGTCTCTCTGCCTGCAGGTCACACCTTCCTCCCCCTCCCCCTCGCACACCCACACTTTCCATGTTTTTCTCCACTATCTGCCACCTTCTTCGTCTTCCTCTTCTTCCTCTTCCTCCTCCGCTCTTCAAATGCAGCAATGCAGAAAAAAAGCACAACTTTTTTTGCTATCGATTTTCGTTGTGTGTGTTTTGGCCTTTTTGCAGGGCGCTGCCTTAAGGGCCTTGACAGGGAAGGGGGGAGGGGGGCAACAGCCTTGTTATAGCCGAAAAGGGATGACAGGTGGGGGAGGGAGACCGAGACAGCCGCATTTAGTATGCCGTCGTCGTCTCTCGGTTCCCTATTCCCTATTTCCTTCCGCTACTCCCCTCTTCCTGCTCGCTCTTTCATTTCCCCATTCTCTGCACACACACACACACATTCCGTTCCGTTCCTTTCCACATTCCCGTTCTCTTGCGCTTCATCTTTCACTCTACGCTCCATTTTGTAAGCCAGCCTAAAAGGCGCACAAACTTTTTACCAGGACAACGGATGACGAGGACATTGAAAGAGATAGAGATAGCGATAGCGATAGCGATAGAGAGGGACAGGGAGGGAAGTTTAAAAACAAACTTTTGCCATTTCTCTATGTCTCTCTCTCTCTCTCTGTCTCCCTGTCTCTCCTTCTCGTTCAGTCTGGATGTGTCTGTGTGCCATTAAATTTGCAATGTCCCCGCGTCGGTGGAAATTTAATTTGTGCTTCCTGTGGGAGCAGGACACAAAGATAGACACAAACGGAGA